CCACATAAATGTAGCTCAGTTGTTGAATGCCTGAAGTGCAGTCATATGACCACAGGAGTGTGTCAGGCACAAACAACCAGACCCACACATGAATAATTCAATTAGCTGTTTTATTGCTCAGGAATATACACAGGAATCTTCTCAGACTAAAGGTTTGTACCTGGGTGAATCTAGAACAGGGGTAGGCAACCCAAAACACTCAAAGAGCCACTTGGACCCGTTTCCCACCAAAAACAAAACACCGGGAGCCGCAAAACCCTTTTGATATATAAAATGAAGATAACACTGCATATATCCTTCTTTACCTTTATTATGGGTGTGTGTGTGTGTGTGTTTGTGTATGTATGTGTGTGTGTGTATGTATATACACACACACACACACATTAAAAATAAAAGTAAAAATATGACTCTTGGGAATATCCATACTATTAAAACAATGATCACCAAGAGAATGCTTTAAGAGAATAAAATTACATACACACACAGGTAAAAAAAGGATATATGCAGTGTTATCTTCATTTTAGATGTCAAAAGGGTCTCTCTCTCCCTCCCTCTCTATCTGCCCTTGGTCTACCACTCTTCTTCCCCCCCCACACACTCTCTCTCTCTCCCTCCCTCCCTCTCTCTTTCTCCCCCCTCTCCTATCTGCTGCTCACCTGGCAAGCTTCAAGCTGTTGTCCAACAAGCTCAGGGATAAGCAACCTTGTCTCTTTTATGACTCATGGACTTCAACTCCCAGAATTCCTGAGTCAGCCTAGCTGGGCTAGCTAGCTCTCTCCTGCCCTTCCTGCTTCCTGCAGAGACGCAGCAAAGGGAGGAGCTCCGCACAGTAAGCTTTTCAGCTCCTCAGAGAACACTGTGAGTGCACTCTCTTTTATACACACACACACACACACACACACAGAGAGAGAGAGAGAGAGAAAGAGAGAGAGAGAGAAAAGCAGGGAAGCGCAATTGCCTCTCTCTGTCTCTGTCTCTGTCTGAAAAGGCAGAGGAGGCTGGGAGCCACAGGGGAAGGCTCAAAGAGCCGCATGCGGCTCCGGAGCCGCAGGTTGCCGACCTGTGCAGGTTGCCGACCTGTGATCTAGAACTAAGGAGAAACTTCCTGACAGTTAGAACAATTAACCGGTAGAACAACCTGCCTCCAGAAGCGGTAAATGTTCCAACACTGGAAGTTTTTAAGAAGAGACTGGACAGCCACTTGTCCAAAATGGTATAGGGTTTCCTGCCTGAGCAAGAGGGTTGGACTAGATGACCTCCAAGGTTCCTTCCAACATCATCATCATCATTATTATTATTATTATTATTATTATTATTATTTTATTCTTTTATATTATGGTCATCGGCACAGTCACCAGATTTCAGACTGGATTTGGCATTTTGTCCTACCTTCGAGTCCGTCCCCAACACCTGGATAGGCATATGTGGATGTTTGATGGTATTACATGTTGTCGCAGGATGAAGTCAGTACTAGTAGGCTGCCTTTTGCATTGACTTAATATAGCGAATTTGTCAATGCCGAATGGTGTTAAGGGGTACTCCGTTGTTTTTGGGATTGCCCAAGGAGCCTATGCTATTGGACTAACCATTAGCTTCGTTTGCACTGTCTTTCTATTTCTATTTGTGGTCTCTTATGTGTTAATCTTCTCCGGCTGCTTTTCCTTTCTCTTTCTATTCTCTGTCTCCAGGGCACTGCCCGACTCCCCTATCCAGACTTTTTTGTCTTTCTTATCGACAATTGTTAAGTCTGGGGTGTTATGTTGCAGGTGCTTGTCTGTTTGAATTCTGAAGTCCCAGAGCAGTTTAATTTTATCATTTTCTATGACTTTCTCTATTTTATGATCCCACCAGTTTTTGCTTACAGGATGATGATGATGATTATTATTATTATTATTAACCTTCTGAGAAGCAAAGTCAATGGGAAAGCCCGATTCACTTAACAACTGCACTGATTCATTTAACTGTGGCAAGAAAAGTTGTAAAATGGGCCAAAATTTTCTTAACAACTGTCTCACTTACCCACAAAAATTTTGGGTTCAGTTCTGGTTATAGGCCTGTAATCTCATCCTATTTTCCCCTAAGATTTGAAGATAGTGCAGTGCGATAAGCAATCAAAGTGAAATTTGTAGTTATTACATCATGAGAAACTTCTTTTTCCTACAGGCTGAGATTAATAGTAATGAGATCATATTCAAGATTACGATTTCAGATTTCAACAGCGGGACTTTTAAATTCCTTCCAGCTGTATCCTGCCCTCTGTGAATTAGTGGGGCAGAAAATCCCCCTCCCGCCCACCATTGGCTCCCTTTATCCCCACTGTGCCCAGGAAAATGTTCTCTATAAGAAGGGATCTATGGCAATGGCCTTTACCAGTACTGGGGAAAGTTTCAATCATTCTTACTCTCTAATAATATCAACAGAAATTGTGAGAGCCCTGTTCATTAGTAATAGTAATAATAATAAAGTTGGAAGGGACCTTGGAGGTCACCTAGTCCAGCCCCCTGCTGTACCAGTGGTGGCGAACCTACGGCACGGGTGCCAGAGGTGGCACTCAGAGCCCTCTCTGTGGGCACGCGCATCGTCGCCCCAGTCCTAGGCCTTCAGTTGGGTTTTATAAAACCTTTTCTCTTTAGGCCTCCACCACCGTGTGCAAAAAAAAAAAAGGTTCAATCAATCAGTCAATTTCAACTTCTCACGGGAAAAAAAAGATCTTGTAAAGTTGTAATTGATTGATTAAACTTTTTAGTCCCACACAGTCTGCTATTACCACCGCAGCCACGCCCACCCAATGGGTCACACCCAGCCAATGGGCCACATCCAGCCGGCACCCAACGATGCATAAGTGAGTTTTCGGTTGCAGTTTGGTTCACCATCACTGCCCTACACCATTTCAGACATATGGCTGTCCAGTCTCTTCTTAAAAACTTCCAGTGTTGGAGCATTCACCGCTTCTGGAGGCAAGTTGTTCCACTGGTTAATTGGTCTAATTGTCAGGAAGCTTCTCCTTAGTTCTAGGTTGCTTCTCTCCTTGATTAGTGTGTAAAGAAGGGGTCCGCAAATTCTTCAGCTCATTAACCTCTCCCCCATAAAGTTTCAGATTGTTCATTGATTCCCAAACACTTATTATATGAAAATAAATCAATACATATTATTTTAACAAATAGTACTACAAATAATAATAATATAAGAACAATCCGGTGGAGAGCCAGTTCGGTGTATAGGGCTGACTGAGAAACCAGGAGACTGTGAGTTCCAGTTCCGCCTTAGGCAAGAAAGTTGGATGAGTTTAAGCCAATCACGCTCTCTCAGCCCAATCCATCTCACAGGGTTGTTATGGGATAGAATTTCCTGACAGTTAGAACAATTAACCAGTGGAACAACCTGCCTCCAGAAGTGGTGAATGGTCCAACACGGAAGTTTTTAAGAAGAGACTGGACAGACATTTGTCTGAAATGGTATAGGGCAGGGGTAGGCAACCTTGGCTCTTTTATGACTCGTGAACTCCAACTCCCAGAATTCCTAAGCCAGCATGGTTCAGCTTGGAAACCTCCCCCTTTCCCCTCAGCATGGCTGGCTCAGGAATTCTGGGAGTTGAAATCCATGAGTCATAAAAGAGCCAAGGTTGCCTACCCCTGGTATAGGGTTTCCTGCCTGAGTGGGGGGGTCGGACTAGATGACTTCAGTCCAAGACAGAGCTTTGGGAAGTCCTGATGTAAAGAGAAAGGCTGCACTAGTTGAATTTCTGGCTTGAGGCACCAACGCATCTTAACCAGAGAGGACTTTTTCCCACAGCTTCTGTTCATTGCAAGAGATTTTAGGCAGAGCAATAAATAAAGAGCCTGGGAGCTCTTGGTTTTATTAAAAAGCAGCTGCTTTTGTAAGCTGTGTGTATCAGAAAAGAGGCTCCAGGGCTCCTGTGGTTTTGGATTGTTTTTTTTTTTTTAACACCACAGACCAGCCCTTCTCCTCCCACAAGGTGAGCAAAAGGTGGAGGAAACTCCATCGTTGTTTGGGCTTCCAGCCTCCTTTAACCAAGCAAGGAGGCCTTTCCAGAACTAGTCAAGTGAGTTGCAAGGCTTTGCTCCTGTGGGCCTCTCCCTGCTGGTGCAACCTTGCTTGGTTACAAATCCGATGCATTTGTCCCATTTCTCTACACCTCTCCCCCCCCTCCACTTCACCTCCAGCAAGTTGCCTTGCCAGATGTGGGGCTGCCCCAGCTCGGGTTGGGCTGCTACATTTGGGCTGCTACATTTGCTAACGGGATGCCTGAGCGACAGACCGAGTTGCGCCCGCGGCCTTAGCCAGTTGATTCTTACGTAGCGGAGGAGTGTGGGGTGTTTTTGCAAAGGGGAGAAATGTGGGGGGGTGGTTTGTGAGTTATTTCCTCTCTTTTGGCTGCATGCCAGCTTTGGGGGAGGTTCCCCCTTGGAGTGGGGTGCACGGGAGGAGGCCCCGGCTGTTACTCAAAGCAAAGACCGACCCTGGATTGAAAACACGGAGGAGGGAGGGCAAAATTTCTCCCCCACATTTGTTTTTTGGGGGGTGGGGTGGGGTGAAGTTTAGAGAGCCAAACTGGCTGATCACTCTTACTTCTGTGGGGGGGGGAGGGTCTCTGCTTCTCCCCTTCTCCCTTTCCACTCTCTGTCCCACTCTCCTTCTGGCCAGCGTGGCCAGAGCATGACCAACACCCACACAAACGCGCGCGCGCACACACACACACACACATCTCTTGGCAGGCTGACTTCCTGCCAAAAACTGCTACCCCTTTTCCGGGCCTGCCGCTACCATAGCAACGACCTCCTTGCAACCCAGCCTCTCGCCAAGCGACAGAGAGGCACCCAGAGGGAAGGGAGGGGGAGCCCACCGAGAAAGAATGAGGGGGAGTGGGTGTGCGTGCTTGCACCCCCTCCATCTCCCTTCCCCTCCCCCATGAAAGCTCGCACACAAGCCTAGGTTTGCACAAGCGGCCCGTTTAACCCTTCCTCTCCCGACGCTTGCAGGGCTGAGCATCCGGAGTTCGCAAGAGGAAGAGCCGGTGGACCCGCAGTTGATGCGCCTGGATAACATGCTCTTGGCCGAGGGGGTGGCTGGACCCGAAAAAGGGGGTGGCTCAGCAGCGGCAGCAGCAGCAGCGGCGGCGGCAGGAGGGGTGTCCCCCGACAACTCCATCGAGCACTCGGATTACCGCAATAAGCTTTCGCAGATCCGCCAGATCTACCATTCGGAGCTGGAAAAGTACGAGCAGGTAAGAAGACCTGAGGACAGGCACTTGTGTGTGTGTGTATTTGTGTGCGTGGACGTGCACATTTAAAGGGATTTGCTCTTGATTTTTGCTCTCTGCCAAATTCTTTGGTTTGCACACGTTTAGGGCAGTAAACCGTTTTGATCCTGCCATTGATCCCCTTGTATATATATTTATTTTTAAATTACATGGAGATAGTCATATATGATGCCATTTTGGGGACAAGTGGAGGAAATCTATGGTGCTGAGAAAGATGGAAAGGAGGGAGAGAGGGAGAGAGAGAGAGAGAGAGAGAGAGAGAGAAAGAAAGAAAGAAAGAAAGAAAGAAAGAAAGAAAGAAAGAAAGAAAGAAAGAAAGAAAGAAAGAGAATAAATAGCAAAGCAGATGAACCTGATTACAGTGATGATGATGGAGGCAGTGTTGAAATTAAGAATCCATACAAAGGATAGTATTGGGGTCTGGTCCCATTATTCTGGAGAAAATCTACACCCGTGGTTGTTAGGAGTCAACACTGGCTTGATGGCACATATGCAATACATTTTATTTATTTATTTAAACCAATGGTAAAGCTAGCCATATCAAACTCTGGGCAGCTTCCAACCAAGAGTTAAAACAAAATCAATAATAAAACGACATAATGCACATACCTGTTAAAACATTAAATATATTAAGTGTTCAGTGTATAAACCTATAATGAAATATTATCTGCAACATTAAGTAACTATCAAAAGCTGGCACCAAAGTTAATTTTCCACATGCAATTCCTCGGTCAGTCCTCTCGCTCACCTCATCCTATCCCAGGGATTGAGGGAAAAAGCAGGCCTTAAGATCTTTTCAGAAGGCGAGGAGGAAGATGGAGGCCTGCTGAACTTCAGGGAGAAGGGAATTCCATAGGGCAGAGCCTGCCATGGAAAAGGCACCTTTCCCACCTCCCATACGATGCAGTGTTTAAAGGAAGGGACTAGGAGCATGTCCACCCTATCTGAACTGGTAAGACTGGTCGATGCCCTTAGGACAGTGGTGGCGAACCTATGGCACAGGTGCCAGAGGCGGCACTCAGAGCTCTCTCTGTGGGCACGCGCGCCGTCGCCCCAGTCCTAAGGCCTTCAGCTGGGTTTTATAAAACCTTTTCGCTTTAGGCCTCCACTGCTGTGTGCAAAAAAAAAAAAAAAAGGTTCAATCAGTCAATTTCAACTTCGCGAGGAGGGGGGGAAGATCTCACAAAGCTGGAATTGATTGAATTTTTTAGTCCCACCCAGTCTGCCATTACCGCCGTAGCCACGCCCAGCCAATGGGCCACATCCACCCAGCACCCGACAATGCATAAGTGGGTTTTGGGTTACAGTTTGGGCACTCGGTCTCTAAAAGGTTCGCCATCACTGCCTTAGGAAAAGGCAGTCCTGCAGATAACCTGGCCCTGTAGGCCTTTAAAGGTAATAGTTAGTACCTTTTTTGGGGGGGGGGTAAAGTTTTTATTGGTTTTTTTTCATACAATTCAATAGTATTTATTCAACAATACAAATTTAATCCCTAATCCTTTATTCTTTTCTCCAGCCACGATAAAATAAGTCCCAAGTTTGAAAGTATTGTTTCTTCTTTTTCTTTCAACCTCATAGTAAGTCTGTACACTTCCGCACATTCTAGTATTTTTTTAAAATTATTTCTTCCTCTGGTGGTATTTCTTCATTTTTCAAATATTGTGCGAATATTATTCTTGCCGCTGTTGTTGCATGTAAAATCAAATAAATATTTTATTTATCAATCTTTTCTGGCATTATACCTAGTAAAAAAAGTTCAGGTTTAAAATCTATAGGTTTCCCAACATCTTTTCTAGTCAAGTATGTATTTTTATCCAGTATCTCTTTGCTTAAAACATGTCCACCATACATGATAATAAGTGCCTGACTTATGTTTATATTTCCAACATCTATCTGACATATTTTTAAACATTTTTGCTAATCTTGCTGGTGGCAAGTGCCATCTATAAAACATTTCATATAGGTTTTCTTTATAAGAAGTTGACATTGTCAGTTTATAATTTCTTTCCCAAAAGTTTTGGCATTTTTCTAAGTCTATGTTATATCCAAAATTGCTTGCCTATGTTATCATTGTTTCTTTAACTGGTTCATTTTCCATTTTCAGATTCAATAAATAGTTATAAATTAATAGTAATAGCCAGCACCTTGAAGTGCACCTGGGTAGAAACTGAGAGCCAGCCCAACTCATTTAGTGCAGGTAGTCCTTGATTTACAACAGTTCATTTAGTGACTATTCAAAGTTACAATCACAGTGGAAAGAAAGTGACTTATGACCATAGTTACAACCTTGGTAGAATACCCACGATGGTGTGATCAAAATTCAGACGCTTGGCAACTGGTTCATACTTATGACCATTGCTGGGTCCCAAGGTCATGTGATCCCCTTTTGCGACGTTCTGAGAAGCAAAGTTGATGGGGCGGCCAGTTTCACTTAATAGCCGGGTTACTAACTTACCAGCTGCAGTGATTCAGTTAACAACTGTGGCAAGGAAGGTCGTAAAACGGGGCAAAACTCACTTAGCCAATGTTTCACTTAACAACAGAAATTTTGGGCTCAATTTTACAGGCCACAAAGACTACCTATAGAGAAGTTACTTGGGGAAACTTAGGGAAATACATCACTGCGTGCCATCATCCCATTCCATCTGATCTTTATTTCTTTTGTTTATTACATTTGTTGGCCACCCATTTTACCATAGGTCAGGGGTAGGCTCTTTTATGACTCGTGGACTTCAACTCCCAGAATTCCTGAGCCAGTATGGCTCAGCTTGGAAACCTCTCCCTTTCCCCTCAGCATGGCTGGCTCAGGAATTCTGGGAGTTGAAGTCCACGAGTCATAAAAGCGCCAAGGTTGCCTACCCCTGCCATACGGTAATTCTGGGCAGCTTGCAGTGTTAAAAAGGATAGAACTATACAAGACATGCATATTAACATGAATAAAATGCTATAAAAATACAAATGATCAACCCTAACTAAAAGTTGGGGAGGGAGGGTGTGGGATGGGCAGGGAGGGAGGGAGGTGGGATCTGTTATCAATCTGTCAACCACCTCCAGTGTGATACTCCTCTCCCATTGGAGCTCCAGGCCAACTCCAGGCCAAGTCAGGTCTTTAAGCATTTACAGAAAATCAGGAGGGTGGGATCTTCAAGGACAGCCCTATGTAGAGTTCATTGCAGTACTCCAGACAGGAAGTGACCATGGGCAAGGATTCCCAGTCAAGGAAAGGGCAGAATCAACATAACAGACAAATCTGTGCAAAGTTTCTCCCCCCCAACCCCAGCAAAATAAATAAATAAAAATTCGGGGGAATTCTTTTTAAAAAAAAAATCTAAATGGATGAATGGAAGAGATATTTATATAGATGAAGGCTTCTGATAAAATCTAAGGAAGGCTGATAGTCCCCCCCACACATAACAGTACAGATAGACATGTACTGTAGTCACGGATTAGATGTTCTTCCTTTGTGGAACAGTGTTGCTTAAAACCCGGGTGTCTAACTCGATCGCATCACGTGACGTATTGTGACTTTTTTTTTGCCTTTGGGGAGCCGGGGTGGGCATGGCCTGCGCATGACGCATCCAGCCCACGGGCCGCCAGTTTGACATCCCTGGCTTAAAATGAATACTGGCAGTCCTCAGTTTACAACCACAATTGAGCCCAAAATTTCTGTCGCTAAGTGAGACAGTTCCTTAAGTGAGTTTTGCCCCATTTTATGACCTATGGTCATACCTCGAGGACGACCTGTACATAATGGAAGCCTTTGCATGATAGTGTCGCTGCCTGCAGGTCACTTTGCTTAAGGCAATGGTTCTCAACCTTTTTAATGCCGCGACCCCCAACCGGTCGTAAGTCGAGGACTACTCAACCGGTTGTAAGTCGAGGACTACTCAACTGGTGCAGCACCGTTTGCAGAACGGGACTTTTGGCGGGCTCAGCAGGGCAGAGACAGCTTGGACAATTCCTATTGGCTTTTGAAAGCCAATAGAATTAGACTCTCTTCAAGAGAGTCTATTCTATTGGCTTTCAAAAGCCAATAGAATAAAAGGGAGTAGCACAGCTAAGGAAAAGGGGGAAAAAATGGCGGACTGCGTTGTTTGGCGACCCCCGTGAAATGGTCGTTTGACCCCAAATGGGGTCCCGACCCACAGGTTGAGAACCACTGGCTTAAGGGAATGTGGGAAAGACCTAGGGAGGCTGGGCCAAGAGATGTTGCGGTCAGATAACGGGCAGCATAGCCTGCCGTTGGATAGTGGGTGGGGCAAGAAACGCAGAAGAAACCCTCCCTAGTTTCTCAGACTGTAAAGGAGGGACAGAGATACACTTTCAGACTTGCAAGCTTCTATCTATCACAGTGATGGTGAACCTTTTGGAGACCCCCAAAAACTGGCCCCGCCCCTGCTCCACCCCCTGACCCGCCCCCACCCTGCCTGCCTGCCTGCAGGGCCACTCGCCGCCTCCAGAGCCCGCCGCAGATTGCCCAGCAGCGCCATGGTGGCCACACCCTCTGCCTGGCTGCCATGTCCTTGGCAGCGCTGCTCTGTGCAGGCCGCGCCCGGGGCGACTCTCCTCCAGGGGGGCTGCTGGTGAGGACAGGGTCACAGGGGGAGGCAAGGCTGGGGCAACGGCACGTGTGCCCACGGAGAGGGCTCCGAGTGCTGTCTCTGGCACCCGTGCCATAGGTTCGCCACCACTGATTTATCATGTTGCTTTACAATAAAGAAGAATTAGCTCCTCTGTAATCCCTGTCTAATTTAGCTTCTGAAGCCGACATTTTGATGTCACCATAATTTGCTGCAAATAATCCCACCTGGTGACTTATTTTGTACTGAATAATAATAATAATAATAATAATAGTAATAATGTTGGAAGGGACCTTGGTGGTCATCTAGTAGTCCAACCCCTTGCTCAGGCAGGAAACCCTATGCCATTTCAGACAAATGGCTGTCCAGTCTCTTCTTAAAAACTTCCAGTGTTGGGGCATTCACCGCTTCTGGAGGCAGGTTGTTCCCCTGGTTAATTGTTCTAACTGTCAGGAATTTTCTCCTTAGTTCTAGGTTGCTTCTCTCCTTGCTTAGTTTCCACCCCGTTGCTTCTTGTCCTGCCCTCAGGCACTTTGGAGAATAGCTTGACTCCCTCTTCTTTGTGGCAGCCCCTGAGATATTGGAAGACGGCTATCATGTCCCCCCTCGTCCTTCTCTTCATTAAACTAGACATATTTATGTCTTTTCCACTTTTAAAGAATTAACTCAATATCCACTTCCTTGGAAATTTAAACAGGGACTTCATCATCACCTTTATTTATGTACCTGCAATTCATGCTGCATATTTATATATTAATTTAAGTCCCTGGCATTCACTGAAAAGTACAGCAAAATGCCCAGCTGAAAAAGACTCCTTCCACACTATTATATTAATCTACTAAAGTTGCACTTTTAAATCATTAGGAATTAAGCCCAATTTTGTGGCACCTAATTGGTAATTGTCATGTTACTGGCTGAACTAATTATGTGAATTATAGGATACTTGATGTTTAAAAAATAAAATAAAATAATAGCGTCCAGGCATATAGAGTTACATCACAATGGTTGAAGAGAAATAATCAATGCATCCTACTTGCTTTGGTTTGCAATTGTGGAGTAAAAAAATTGGCTACAGATGTAAATTCACGCCGAAGATTGAATTTAACATTTAGATGCTGGTAGCTGAAACAAAAAAAGCTGCTGCTGTTGTGATAATTATTATTAATTTACATTTATTTTAACTTTTCATTCCCATCAACTGTTGAACATCTGGGTGAGGGCTGAGTTTGGGGAACTGCTTTTATATGTGTATGTATCTTTTTAGGGCTTTTTTTTAAAAAAATGTGTTTTTAATGGTTTATTCCAGTGGTTCTCAACCTTTTTAATGCCGTGACCCCCAACCGATCGTAAGTCGAGGACTACTCAACTGGTGCAGCATCGTTTGCAGAATGGGACTTTTGGCGGGCTCAGCAGGGCAGAGACAGCCTGGACAATTCCTATTGGCTTTTGAAAGCCAATAGAATTAGACTCTATTCAAGAGAGTCTATTCTATTGGCTTTCAAAAACCAATAGAATAAAAGGGAGTAGCACAGCTAAGGAAAAAGGGGAAAAAATGGCGGACTGCGTTGTTTGGCGACCCCCGTGAAATGGTCGTTCGACCCCAAATGGGGTCCTGACCCACAGGTTGAGAACCACTGGTTTATTCTGTTTGGAGGCTTCTTCTAAATCGGCAAATACTTCCCATGTCACAATAGGAAGTATCCGGGCCTGTGTTTTCGGTAGCCACACTTAGGACCACAGTGGGCAACAGATTGAATGGGTAGAAAAATCAGACTTTTCTAGGGAAGAAAAAGTTAATAGCCCTACAAGTAGTCCTTGCCTTACGACCACAGTTGAGCCCCAGAATTCTGTTGTTAAGTGAGACAGTTAGGCGAATTTTGCCCCATTTTACGACTCTCCTTGCCACAGTTTTTAAGTGAATCGCTGCAGTTGCTCGAGTTAGTAACACAGTTGTTGGGTGAATCTGGCTTCCCCATTGAGTTTGCTTGTCAGAAGCTCGCAAAAGGGGATCACATGACCCCCGGGACACTGCAACCGTCATAAATACGAGGCAGTTGTCAAGCGTCTGAATTTTGATGACGTGACCATGGGGATGCTGCAATGGTCACAACTGTGAAAAATAAGTCCCTTTTTCAGTGCCGTTGTAACTTTGAATGGTCACGAAACGAATGGCTGTACATCGAGGACTTAACCTGTACAAAACTGATTAGCTGGAGATGCAAGCTAAGACTTAGTGGCCAGAGGTGGTGAATCTTTGGAATGGAGGATAGATTGCTATGGATGGGGAGAGTGTCATGTTCTTGCCATTGTAGCTTTTGACTCACCAGCCCCGCCTCTGCCTTCTTCCTTTTCACTCCTCGACCCGCAAAGGCCTGCAATGAGTTCACAACCCACGTGATGAATTTGCTTCGAGAGCAAAGCCGCACACGCCCGGTGTCGCCTAAGGAGATTGAACGCATGGTCAGCATCATCCATCGGAAGTTCAGCTCTATCCAGATGCAGCTGAAGCAGAGCACGTGTGAAGCTGTCATGATCCTGCGTTCCCGCTTCCTGGATGCCAGGTGGTTATTTTACCTCAGAGGGACTGTAGTCCTTTTATGACTTGTGGACTTCAACTCCCAGATTTCCTGAGCCTTATGACTTGTGGACTTCAACTCCCAGAATTCCTGAGCCAGTCCACAAATCATAAGGCTCAGGCATTCTGGGAGTTGAAGTCCACAAGTCATAAAAGGACCATCATTCCCCACCTTTGTTTTACTGCTGCAAATTTGGAGCTGGCCATGCCAGCCAAAACAAATGGTGGGGGTCACAAAGTCTTCCCTCTCCCCAATAGTTTAATGCAGCATTTCTCAACTTCAGTAACTTCTAAGAGGCATAGGCAGCCGTCAACTTAATAGAATAGAATTCTTTATTGGCCAAGTGTGACTGGACACACAAGAAATTTGTCTCTGGTGCATAAGCTGTCAGTGTGCACACGAGCAACAAGTGATAAATCATGATCATAATTGTAAAATACAATCACCATAAATCATAAGATACAATACTCAATGATAATCCTAGGACACTCAATACGCAGTCAACATAAATCACACTAGGATATTAAATGAAAACAATATAAATCATAAGACACATGCAACAAAGTTATAGTCATAAGAAGATAACGAAATAGGTAATAGAAAAGATGAGAAGGATAACAGTAATACAGCCCTACTAGATAGTTTGATAGTGTTGTGGGAATTAGTTGTTTAGCAGAGTGATGGCATGGGGAAAAAAATTGTCCTTGTGTCTAGTTGTTTTGGCACGCAATGCCCTGTAACAACGTCTTGAGGGGAGAGAAAGGATAGAAAGAGAAGCAAAAGGAAGACTTATAGAGACAAGAAGCATAAAAAAAAATAAAAAAAATAGATCAAGTAAAAATAGGAGACATAATTAAGCTTTTTTCTGTAAACAATGGATTAAATATATCAGGAAAAAGAGTTTAAATGTTTAACAATTTAAGGAAATTGGATGTAGATGTGATGTATCTTTAGGAAGTTTATATAAAATAGGATTATAGAAAACTACTGGAGAAAGTAAAATTTAGAAATATTATACACAATATTAGCATAAAACAAGAAAGGAGGAATTATTATATATGTCAAAGAAAAAATCAAATCAAATCAATATATTTGGATGAAAAGGGGTAAATTTTAATGTTGGAAATAGTATTAGAGCAAAAAGAATATATGCACTAAATAATAATTAACGTGAATCTTTTTTTAAAAAAATAAGGTATATAAGAAGCTAGTGGATTTGGACTATGAGAATATTTGTATGATCACCAGGCCTAGATGGAATCCCGGTTGAGTCCTATAAAAAATACAAGAGTTACTACAATGAATATGTTGGAAATTTAAAATGAGGTGTTGGTAGAGGCGATATGGGTATAATAATGTATAATAATAATAATAATATGAATTATTCCTAGTAAGTAGTAGAATATGAAGGAAGGAAAATATAAATAAGAAACAATGGGGCAATAAGGACAAATATTTCAAAGAAGAATGAGGGGGGAAATGTAAATAATAGAAGAGTACTGTTAAAAATTGCTGTTAACAAAAAAGGATATATTATGTGTGTATGTGTGTAATGTTTTGCTGTGTTTTGTTTTGTTGGTCTAAAAAAATTAAAAGAAAAAAAGAAAAAAAAGGAAAAAAACATCGTCTTGAGGGGAGAAGTTGAAACAGTTTAGGTCCAAGATATGAGGGGTCTGTAGATACTATCTCAGCCATCTTTCTGGCTCACCACAGCCTGCCCACCATGGTCATAAGTTGTGATGGTCCTAAAACCTTTTTTTTTTTGTGACAGTCATTAAGCAAATACTACAGTTATAAAGTGGACACTCTGCTTGTTAAGCAAATACCAAGGTTGTTAAGCAAATAATGATTGGCCCTGGGCGTGACTTTGCCAAAAACCAGAAATAAATGCTGCAGGGTTGAGGGTTTTTTGGCAAAACTATTGTAAAATGTAGCCACAGGACTCTGAAAAAAAAAAACTGCACCTGGTTGGCAAATGCCCGGTTTGGTCACATGACCATATGGGATGCTCAATCATTGGAACATTGAATGGTCACTAAGCAACTGGCCGTTAGTCAAGGACTGCCTGTATGGACTTTAACTCCTAGAATTCCTCAGCCAGCAATAAAAAGGCTTGGATCCTGTGTTATCCAGCTGCAGTGAACATCTGGGCTAGAGCTGTTGATAGGCAGTGGGTCTCAGCCTCAGAGCCACCAAGCTGAGGTCGAACCCACGTCGTTTGTATGTGTGTAATGTGTATCACAGCCAAAATATTCAAATAGCTAAGTAACAAGTATGATCAAAACGTAAGGTAAAACAGTTTGACAGATAAAATAAATGGATAGATATTACACAATTCATTTAAAAGTTTATTAGTAAAGAACTTGGCTTATAGTCATAGTTAAAAATGTGCCTCTAATTTTTTGGGATTTTTATATGGGAGTAAAAGTTTAAATGTATTCAGAAATATCTCTTCCTTGCCTCTATCTTAAAAAAAATCTATAGAAATCATAATGCATTAAGAACTGATCACAGGTCAGTTATCATTACAAGAGCACCATTGTGGAGAGATAGGAGATCTTTTGAAATCTACCATAGAGCATCTTTGAGGGCAACACATTTAATCTGGCTTTAGAAAAAGCTACTCTGTCCAAAATAGCACAATTTATTACTATTACATACACAATAATGTGAAATCACAGCTGCTAGTTGTTTAGCTGGTGTTGACCTTCATACACATTTGAGTTCTTCAACCTAGCATGTTGTAATGTATTGATGTAGTATAAGAGTGGATCCAAGATATGTGGCCTTTTGCAATTGGAAGGGAAAGGTAATTAGTCCCTGTGGATTTTATTCCGCTAATCGTTGCCAGCTATAAGGGGCAGTGCTCATCTCTGTTTCAAAGCCATGAGCCAGCATGATGGCACAGAGCGCTGTTAGCTTCCCATGGAAGTGGTACCTATTTATCTACTCACATTTGCATGCTTTCGAACTGCTAGGACGAGGACGGGAGCTCATCCCATTGCTTGATGCTTGGGTCTTGAACCCAGACTGTTGGCTTTCCAGCCGACAAGCCCAGCGTCTTAACTGCTAAGCCAGAGTTCCCCAACCTTTCAGGGTTGGTGGCTTGGAGGGGGGGGGGAGAAGGGATGGCTTTGTGCAGTGTTTCTCAACCTTGACAATTTTAAGGCATGTGGACTTCAACTCCCAGAATTCCACAGCCAGCTGGAGTTGGGAGTTGAAGTCCACATGCCTTAAAATTGTCAAGGTTGAGAAACACTGGCTTTGTGGGAGGGTTACACACATGCGTAGGCACAAACACTCATTGCTTGCGTGAGTGGGGCCATGAGCGCCCGGTGGCCAATAGGCCGTGGCCTAGTTGGGGACCCCTGTGCTAAGCCATCAAGCTGCCCTCTTTTGCAGTTGACAGATGGAAATTTTATTTGATGCCCAGATTTCCTAAGTGCTGTCCAAGGTTTTTTGGTCTGGCACCCAGTGTTCCACACTGCCCAGTTTATGTCATAATTTTTCAGTTTCAATTTTCATATCTTAATTTTTTGTGATTGCCAATTCTTTTGCCTTCCCTTTTTACTATATCTGATAATTGCCACATCAATTATCCACACTTCTTTTTAGCCAGTTACCTCTGGTGTGTTAGGAGCCAAGATTTTATCACTCCACATGTGGAAATTCCACAATATTTTACCCTGCTCATTTTCAAGTACATGTTTCCACCAGTTGTTGATTACTGGAACATGATAGTGTCTACAGATGTTCCAGTGAATCATTTTGGCCACCGTGTATACACACACACACACACACACACATTAATCACGGACTGTTTAGCGGAAAAATGTGTCTTGAGAATTAACAAGGTTGATACATGACACAATTGTGTTGCTTAGCGATGGCAGTTGTGGTTCCAGTTGCCATTGTAATCCGAGGACTCCTATATTTGAACAGATTGTTTTTACCCTCTGCAACCAACTAGTTCAGGGGTAGGCAACCTTGGCTCTTTTATGACCCGTGGACTTCAACTCCCAGAATTCCTAGCATGGCTCAGCATGGAAACTTCTCCCTTTCCCCTCAGCATGGCTGGCTCAGGAATTCTGGGAGTTGGAGTCCACAAGTCATAAAAGAGCCAAGGTTGCCTTCGCCTGAACTAGTATGTTATCAGGAAGGGTTGCTCTATATCAGTGGTTCTCAACCTGGGGGTCGGGACCCCATTTGGGGTCGAACGACCATTTCACGGGGGTCGCCAAACATCACAGTCCGCCATTTTTTCCCCCTTTTCCTTAGCTGTGCTACTCCCTTTTATTCTATTGGCTTTTGAAAGCCAATAGATAGAGTCTAATTCTATTGGCTTTCAAAAGCCAATAGGAATTGTCCAGGCTGTCTCTGCCCTGCTGAGCCCGCCAAAAGTCCCATTCTGCAAACGGTGCTGCACCAGTTGAGTAGTCCTCGACTTACGACCGGTTGGGGGGGGGGTCGCGGCATTAAAAAGGTTGAGAACCACTGCTCTATATACTTTTTCTAATATACTTATAAATCCCTACTCTTCCTGCTCCTTGTTTTTTTTTTTTTTTTTTAAATTCCCCTTCTTAATCCCATACGGGATTAATCCCATACGGGATTTGACAGACATTGATACCTGAATGGCAGCCATTTTGTTCTCATTGTCAACCTCTCGACCCCCCCCCCTTTTGTCCCATGCAACGGACAGGCGGAAGCGACGCAATTTCAGCAAACAAGCCACCGAGGTCCTGAATGAATATTTCTACTCCCACCTGAGCAACCCATATCCCAGCGAGGAGGCGAAGGAGGAGCTTGCCAAGAAATGCGGCATCACCGTCTCGCAGGTACCAGGACGTATGCGGGGGGCAGGTCTGAAGCTGATCCAAGCAGGCTGCAAGACTGTCTGCGAGAGACGGTAGGATCACTTTGGGAAAGAAGGTCGGCCGGGGGAAAAGGGTCCAGCTTTGGCTGACCTATCGATCCATAATTCCCTTCCTTCCTCACCCCTCTTTCCCCCTTCTTCCCCTCCCACTTCCTGTCCCTCCATGTTGACCTCTGCCCTCTCCCTCCCTCCCTCCTTCCAGGTCTCAAACTGGTTCGGGAACAAGCGCATCCGCTATAAGAAGAACATCGGCAAGTTCCAAGAGGAAGCCAATATTTACGCCGTGAAAACGGCGGTCAGCGCCGCACAGAGCGGGGGCGACTCTCCCAACACCCCCTCCTCCGCGGGTAACTCCTCTCCTCTCCAAAACTCCGCTACACCCCATGTTGGTGCAGGAGTCCTTGCTGGGATTGGAGAAGCATGGAACCGCCCCCTCCAATAAACCGTGGAGCTCCGCGGGAGAATCTCCATTCCCAGCTCTTCCCTCCCTTTTCCAAACAAGCCGTCATCCCTGCTGAATGCAGACACAGATGCTTCCTACCTTCCTTCCTTCTTTCTTTCTTCCTTTCTTTCTTCCTTCTCCCCAGTCCCCAGGCCAATGTAATGGTCTGCGGGAATGACCTTGGAGAGACAGGAGGAAGAGCCACAGACTAGACACCAGTCAGTTTAGAGGCAGCTGAGTCCACAGCAGGAATGTGGGCGTGGAAAACCATCTCAGAAAGGTCCCTCCCTGGTTTCTTGGATGGTAAAGGTGAAGGGGAAGAGATGTACCTTCAGATTTATTCATTTATTTGTTTCCTTATTTATTTATAACATTTATTGGCTGCCCATCTAACCACAGGGTATGTTTGGAATTCTGTCACAGTAACAGGGATTCTGTTACTATAACCTTACAGAAAAGCTAGAGCTAGTACTCCTGTCTGCGCTTGGGGCTCGTGGCATACAGCTCCAGTTTATTTAACCTGTTAGTAGCCTTAATCTTTTCTTTCCTCGAAAGGACTGCATTCTCCACCTGTTCACTCCGTTGCTCTTTTTTTCTCCTATCTTTCCTCAAATTTTCTCACAGGCTCCGGGGGCTCCTTCAATCTGTCCAATTCGGGGGATATGTTCATGGGCCTTCAGGGGCTAAACGGAGACTCCTATTCTACATCACAGGTTAGTTCCCTGCTTGGCACTTGCAGCAGCCACAGAGCATCTCCCAGGCACTGTTGAAGTGATAGAAAGTCTGTCCTCTTTTACTGTTTCTGAGTGCAGAGAAGAGCAACAAAGATGATTAGGGGACTGGAGGCTAAAACATATAAGGAACGGTTGCTGGAATGGGTATGCCTAGTTTAATGAAGAGAAGGACCAGGGGGGACATGATAGCAGTGCTCCAATATCTCAGGGGCTGCCACAAAGAAGAGGGAGTCAAGCTATTCTCCAAAGCGCCTGAAGGCAGGACAAGAAGCAACGGGTGGAAACTAATCAAGTAGAGAAGCAACCTAGAACTAAGGAGAAACTTCCTGACAGTGAGGACAATTAACCAGTGGAACAACCTGCCTCCAGAAGCGGTGAATGCTCCAACATTGGAAATTTTTAAGAAGAGACTAGACAGCCATTTGTTTGAAATGGTATGGGTTTTCCTGCCTGAGCAGGGGGTTGGACTAGATGACCTCCAAGGTCCCTTCCAACATTATTACTGCTACTACTACTATTACTGCTACTACTACAGCACAATGACGTTTGGCCATTTGAGAAGATTGTGATCCTGATAATGATTATCAGGGCTACAGGTGAGAATAGGAAGGAGGAAAAAATATCCTTGAGGAACGCAGTTGCTGATCCCTTAAGAAAGCAGTCATCCACGAGGTTTCGAGGAGCTTGATTTACAGTATCTTTTATATTTCTAGTTTTTTTTTTAAACTCTTTCTAAAAATCTTGATGTGATTGTACAATAAGGGATGAAAAAGAAAGTACCAAATGTGGCACTTTTTCTTCTGAGAGGCAATAATTGCTGAGGGAGGTGGGAGGTTAAGAAATGTGAAATAGAAATAAATAATAGCTTTGTTTATTGTTTATTTAATTGCTGCCTTCTCAGATGCTGTTCAGAAAAGTTGGACCAAAATCCTTTTGTTTCCCATTATCAGAGCAAATAACTACATTGATTCAGAGTAAAGGCACATTTAGTCAAACCCATTTGAGAACATGAGCCCTTTCAAATTGTTCTTTATCTTCTAGGTGTGTGTGTGTGTGTGTGTGTGTGTGTGTGTGTGTGTGTGTGTGTGTGTTTTAATTTCAGCAACTAAGATGTGTGGACTTTAACTCCCAGAATCCTGGGAGTTCACACATCTTAACGTTAAGATCAAGAAACACTACTTTGGGTGACTGATTGCTAATAAACGTTCCAGTGGAAATTTCACATCATACAGTGCCCTTATCCCACAGCAAACCTATGCAATTGACTGCTGTGGTCTTAAAAAATCAACAGTTAAAAAGTTAGCTCCTTCACAAATAAATCCCGTTTAGCAAAAAGTCCTTTTCCAAGTTAATTTAAAATCTTTTTAAGTTGATTATATTTACCTGAAACAAATAAACATAAAGAATGGATAGGATCACCCAACTCACAGTTTGTGTATTTTTGAGTATTTATAATACACTTTTTTATTCCATGTCATTTATTTATTTATTTTTGGTTTGTTATGGCGAGCCACTGAGTTTTTTTATGATGGTGACAGGATAATCATAATAATTTATTAAACCTGTAGGCTGCCTGATTCCCAACCACTCTGGGTGGTTAACAATCAAACAAATAAATTAAAATTGGTAAAAATTTGGCAAGTGCAATAGACCAGATGGAATGAAACCAGGGGTCCCATTGTTCCTTGCCAAAGGCCTGGGTGAAGTGTCAAGTGTTCACTTCGTTTCTGAACAGCAGCAGGATGGGGGATCCCTGGGGACTCTCATTCCAGAGGATATAAATTTGATAGTAAATGAATATTGTACATAAATAAATAGCAACTGAGCCACAAATCAAAGCCAATATAAAAATAAAACAATATAACAATGCACACAGCCAAGGCTGAGTATAAAAAGCACGTATCCTCCCAAGAGAGCGGGCTCACCGACGTGTGGGAGAAAAGCCAAGTTTTTACAGCTCTGGGAAAAGATAAAAAGAGTGTAATGTTAAGTTTCTTGGCTGTGGGAACCAGAGAGGAAGTTTAAATTACTGTTTCCGTCACATCACGTTTTTTTTTTACTTTCTGAAGTACTGTTGCGTCCAAAAGGAGAACGGGAAATCTATGGGAATTGATAGTGCGTAGAATTGATAGTGGATAGTGCGTAGAATTGATAGTGGATATTTCTCAATCTCTCCCCTCAACTTTCCAAGCTTGTATTCTTTCTACCTTTTGTGTGTTTTTCTTTCACTCCTAGGTGGAGTCGATGCGTCACTCCATGGGGCCTGGTGGCTATGGGGACAATATGGCTGCCAGCCAGATGTACAGCCCACGAGAAATGAGGGTGAGTTTAGATCAAGCGGCCTCAGACAGCACCATTTCAGACTGATGGCCTGGATGTGCTTGTGTAATCAGATGAAAATAGGAAAAGATCTTGGTTGAATACAGGTAGTCATCGACTTAACAACAGTTCATTTAGTGAATCAGGATCACGTGAAGTATTAATACCATTTTACAATGCCTTGGTAAGGCCACATTGGAATACTGCATCTAGTTTTGGTCACCACGATGTAAAAAAGATGTTGAGACTCTAGAAAGAGTACAGAGAAGAGCAACAAAGATGATTAGGGGACTGGAGGCCAAAGCATATAAGGAACGGTCCTGGAATTGGGTATGTCTAGTTTAATGAAGAGAAGGACAAGGGGGGACATGATAACAGTGTTCCAATATCTCAGGGGCTGCCACAAAGAAGAGGGAGTCAAGCTATTCTCCAAGGCGCCTGAAGGCAGGACGAGAAGCCACGGATGGACTCTGATCAAGGAGAGAAGCAACTTAGAACTTTCCTGACAGTTAGAACAATTAACCAGTGGAACAACCTGCCTTCAGAAGCAGTGAATGCTCCAACACTGGAAGTTTTTAAGAAGAGACTGGACAGCCATTTGTCCGAAATGGTATAAGGTTCCCTGCCTGATCAGGGAGTTGGACTAGATGACCTCCAAGATCCCTTCCATCATCATCATCATTATTATTATTATTATTATTATTATTATTATTATTACCACGGTAGATTTCAGAGCTGACTTAAATTTACTGCAACTAACATCCTTAGTAAAAGAGCCCTTTGCTTTTAACCAAATGGAGTTGAGGGCTCATTTTTCCTAAGGGATTGGCTTAGGGCAAGTCTGGCATTAAGCCAGCTCTGAAATCCACGCTCTCTGGATACGAAAATAAGGGGTAGGTTTGCCCCCCCAGCCCATCCCTCCCCCCTGTGACTAGTCCGCTTCATTGTAAAGACATTAAGTGTGAAAAATGATCGTAAGTCACTTTTTGTAGTGCCATTGTAACTTCAAACAGGACACTAAACAAATGGTTGTAAGAACTACCTGTGTCGCATAAAAATGTATCGGCAGCATTTGCCGTCCGTCATTATTTTGCTCTCCACAATTTGTTATGGATGCTGCTAGTTCCGTAACAATCCAGGAACAGCTCTGTGATACCTGGTTTTCCATGTAAGTGTCTTTTTTAAAACAAAGCACAATCAAAGTAACGCATTGTGGTGGGCTACATACATGAAGGGTGACATGGAGGTAGTCCTCAACCTAGGATTTTAAGAAAGTAGAGGGAGGGTTGATTATTGGAAATTTTCAAAAGGGCAGGAATTGAAAACTGATATAGCTAGTCCTTGGCTTATGACAACAACAACAACAATAATAATAAAGTTGGAAGGGACCTTGGAGGGCATCTAGTCCAACCCCCTGCTCAGGCAGGAAACCCTATACCATTTCAGACAAATGGCTGTCCAGTCTCTTCTTTAAAACTTCCAGTGTTGGAGCATTCATCGCTTCTGGAGGCAGGTTGTTCCACTGGTTAATTGTTCTAACTGTCAGGAAGTTTCTCCTTAGTTCTAGGTTGCTTCTCTCCTTGATTGGTTTCCATCCGTTGCTTCTTGTCCTGCCTTCAGGCGCTTTGGAAAATAGCTTGATTCCCTCTTCTTTATGGCAGCCCCTGAGATATTGGAACACTGCTTTCATGTCCCCCCTCGTCCTTCTCTTCATTAAACTAGACATACCCAATTCCAGCAGCTGTTCCTTATATGCTTTAGCCTCCAGTCCCCTAATCATCTTTGTTGCTCTTCTCTGTACTTTTTCTAGAGTCTCAACATCTTTTTTACATTGTGGTGACCAAAACTGGATGCAGTATTCCAAGTGTGGCCTTACCAAGGCATTGTAAAGTGGTATTAACACTTCACGTGAACCCAACATTTCTGTTGCTAAGTCAGGCAGCCGTTAAGTGGGTTTTGCCTCATTTTACGACCTTTCTTGCCACAGTTGTTAAGCGAATCACGGCAGTTGTTAAGTTAGTGACACGGTTGTTAAGCACATCTGGCCTCCACGCCGACTTTGCTTGTCAGAAAGTCGCAAAAGGGGATCACGTGACCCCGGGACGCTGCGGCCGTCATAAATAGGAGTCAGTTGCCAAGCGTCCAAATTTTGAATACGTGACCATAGGGATGCTGCAACTGTCCTAAGTGTGATAAACGGCCATAAGTCATTTTTTTCCCCAGGCCTGGTGTATAATTTGGGTCACTAAACGAAAGGTGAGGGCTACCTGTACACACTTTAGAGAAGGGAAATTTACCGTCTTTTTATTTTATTTATTTTATTTATTTATTTTTATTTTATTTATTTCTTTTTATTTTCATTAGGCCAACGGCGGCTGGCAGGAAGCAGCCACTCCTTCTTCCGTCACCTCCCCAACAGAAGGTCCCGGCAGCGTCCACTCTGACACCTCCAACTGATCGTGTTGTGCTGGTCGTCCCCCCCCCCCCACTTTTCACGTTCGTCCTGATGTCAGGGAAGAGAAAAATGCCAGCGGTGAATAGGCTGGGCAGAGACAAGACTCTTTTCACGGCCTTAGGGTCACCGCATCACCGTGCCGGGGAAGGGTGGGGAGGGGATCCGATGACGCAGTGATCCTTGGGGCAGACCGCTCGAGATGCACCCATTGGGTAAGAAGATGGTCGTCCTTCTGTGATCCTAAATGACATCTTTGGTAACCAAGACATGACTCTTAAGCATCCTGGAGGGGACCCAGCGTGGTGACATTATTGGGAGGTGGGTGGGGAATGGGTGGGAGGTGCCGTCCCAAATGGCTTGTCGATTTGCAGGGGTCAAGGGATAAGCTACGGTGGTACCTGCAACCAAGTGTCATCCTTTGATGGATCGGTTTCATAGGTTATACCCGCACCGAAGGATCACTACGATGGCAGCGTGGATGGATTTCTTGTAAGAGAAGGTGCAAAGGAAGCTGCCAGATGGCGCTTAGGTTGGCATCTCTCCATGATGGGATGATTCCAAAGAGGGATAGACAAGGGTGTCTTCCTGTCGAGTGTACCCAGGTGAAACCATTGGCAATCCGGATCCTGTCCTAGACCCAAGATGGCACTTCCTTCCTGTGCTGTAATCAAGGAGAGTAGCTTCTCCTATGGAATATTTCGGGGGGGGGGGGGACAAGAAGTGCTCTTTTGCTGTCCTGTCTTGCAAGCGGATTGTGTGGATTCACAAAGTTACCCTTCTTGGACTGAACCGCCCGACATGCCTTTCTGTACGAGTAGTTTTCCTGAATCCGAAGATCTAAGTTGGGAATTCATCTGTATCGGAAAGCGGATGTTTCTCAGGAAGATCTCCTTAAAGAAAAGGTGTGGGGAGCCAAGATGTCGATGAGGTTGGAGATAAGACTTCACCTTTATCCAAAGGTGGCGGTGGGGGGGGTGGGGAGAAGGGAACTGGTCCATCACTTGTGCACGTTGAGCTCCAGCCAGCTGCTCGCGGGGTCCATTTCTGAACAGGCCATGCCCCCAGTGTGTTGGGGAACCTTTGCATTAGAGCAGTTAAAGGTTTTGAGGAAGGAAAACTAGTATTGAGCAAAATATTAGGGAGGGCTGGATGTTGTAGAACAGGGTTTTTCAAACAGTTGAGTGGAACCCTAAGATGCTATGAGAAATTGGTAGGGTTCCATAAAGCGGGGAGAGGGGGGGAAGAATAACAATAAAATAACAGTTGGAAGGGAGCTTGAAGGTCTTCTAGTCCAACCCCCCCTATTCAAGCAGGAGACCATTTCAGATAAATGGTTGCCCATTCTCTTCTTAAAAACCTCCAGTGATGGAGCACCCACAAGTTCTGAAGGGCAGCTGTTCCACTGATTAATTGTGCTGCCTGTCAGGAAGTTTCTCCTTAGTTCTAGGTTGCTTCTCTCCTTATTAGTTTCCATCCGTTGCTTCTTGTCCTGCCTTCAGGCGCCTTGGAGAATAGCTTGACTCCCTCTTCTTTGTGGCAGCCCTTCAAATATTGGAACACTGCTATCCCCTAGTTCTTCTTTTTATTCTCTTATCCTTGCTACTTTTCTCTTTCTTCAGCTAATCTTACGTCCCATTGATTCTTACACATCCACATTCTTTTTGCGATTTATTCTTGTTTTCCATTTTTAATATATTCTGACGTTTGAACTTCGGTTTTCTTCCGTATGCCTGCTCCGTGACCAGAGTTCAGTTTTACTGCTTGACCAAACAAAACTCGGGTCAGTGACTAGATTCCCCAACTATACATTTTCACTAGAGCGGTTGTGCAAATCGTAACTTCTGCCAGATAGCTAGCAGGACTTTTTACATTTCTTTTTCGAAAGGAAAGAACAGGAGAACGTACAAAAGAGGGCCGCTGATGACTGGGCACGGTGATGTCAATTGCTATTCGTTCGATCAGAATATCCTTAAGAGCCACTGTTAATAACAGTGGATGTGCCTATTGCCAAGATTTTTTCCCCCCCACAATATTATTTTTCCAAATATTGAAACAGAAACAACGGAAAGGGGTCTTCCAAGCAGGATTGTATTGTATTGGCTCAGGAATTCTGGTAGTTGAAGTCCACGAATCATAAAAGAGCCAAGGTTGCCTACCCCTGGGCTAAGAGAAGATATCTTTTTGTCCTCCCTTTAAAGCAGCGGTTCTCAACCTATGGGTCGCAACCCCATTTGGGGTCGATCGACCATTTCACAGGGGTCGCCAAGCAAGGCTGTCCGCCATTTTTTCCCCCTTTTCCGGCGGGTGCCTTACCTCCCTTGGGCTGGGCCAGCTGGTGGCCCAGCCGGTGGTTAGCCTGCTCCGTCTCTGCTGCTTGCCAGCTATGCCTCGCCCGGCGCAGGGGGCGGCACCATGCATGTGCGGCGCTCCCGGTCAGGGAAAGTCCTTGACTTACGACCGGTTGGGTAGTCCTTGACTTACAACCGGTTTAGTCCTCGACTTACGACCGGTTGGGGGTCGCGGCATTAAAAAGGTTGAGAACCACTGCTTTAAAGTATCACAGAAATCATCTTGCATTGGGGGGAAAAAATCCATTAATTTATTTTGAAGCGAGAGTTTTTGGGATGGCGAGCGGAAGTGGAGGAAAGATCTCGTCCCTCCCTGCTAGTTTTTACCAACTTTACACCAAAAGAACGGGGCATTTATGTAAGTTAAAGCTTCAAATTCACTTTGGGAACCTTGGTGTTCCTCATATGTATTACCCGGGTGTGAAAACGAATGAAGATAAATTTAAACCTTTTCAGGTAGGCCTCTGCTTATGACTGCAATCGAGGCCACGGTTTTCGTTGCTAAGTGAGACAGTTAAGTGAGCTTTGCCCCCTCTTACGACTTTTCTTGCTCCAGTTGTTCGGTTAGTAACAGGATTGGTTAAGTGAACCTTCCCCCATTGACTTTGCTTGTCAGAAGGTCGCAAAAGGGGATCACGTGACCTTGAGACACGACAGCCGTCATAAACACGAATCGGTGGCCAAGCATCCCCATTTTGATCACATGACTGGGGATGCTGCTATGGTCATAAGTGCGAAAGCAGTCATATGTCCCTTTTTTTCAGCACCGTAGTAACTTCAGTCACTAAATGAATGGTCTTCAAGTCGAGGATTATCTGTATTGGAAAAATTGCCATTACCAAATGGAAGTTCTATCGGCTACACCAGTGATGGCGAACCTTTTAGAGACCGAGTGCCCCAAAACTGGCCCTGCCCCCACTCCACCCCCTGCTGCCCTCCAGCTCTGCTCTCCCATCCCCTGCCCCACCTGCCCGCACGGCCACTCACTGCCTCAAGGGCCCACCGCAGATCGCCCAGGCAGCCCAGCAGCGCTGTGGCGGTCACGCCCTCTGCCTGCAGCACCCTGCAGCATCAACTGTGCACAGTGGGGTGTGAGGGCAGAGTCTTGTCTATACTGCCTGGCTGCCATGTCCTTGGCTGCGCTGCTCCACATGGGCCATGCTCAGGGGTGACTCTCCTTCGGGGGGCTGCTGGAGAGGAGGAGGTCATGGGGGGAGGTGAGGCTGGAGCAACACCACATGTGCCCATAGAGAGGGCTCCGAGTGCTGCCTCTGGCACCCGGGCCATAGGTTCGCCACCACTGGGCTACACGTTCTGATGGCTAAAAAAAAAAAAAAAAAATCACACTTTTCCCAATAACCTTGGAATAAAAGCAATGGAAGGGGACTTCCAAGCAGGATTGTGCCATGTTGGACTCATCAGATAGCTGGATCTGACCTTTCCAGAAAATTATCAGTCACAAGGGAAAACCCCTGAATTAGATACCTGATTAGTTCCGAGGATGGACTAGAATGCAGACAGGGCAGAAAGCTTTGAGCGCTCACACCAATTCTGTTCGCTCTTGGCCTCCTGAAGGAGCATTTTGGAGAGAGGGGGAAAAAAAGGATTTGAACAAACCAGAACAGTTAGTTCTCGACTTACGAGAGCTTGAACATTTCCGTTGCTAATCAAGGCAGTTGGGAGTTCTGCCTTATTTTACGATCTTTTTGCCACGATTGTTAAGCTAGTCTCTGCAGTTGTTAAGTGAATCATGTAGTCCAGGGGGTCCCCAACCCCTGGGCTGTGGACCGGGCCGCGGCATGGCGGCAACCGGGCCACACAAACAAGCAAAGTCCCATCCGCGAGATGCAGGCAGCACACAAAACCACATCCCCTCCGGTCCGCGGAAAAACCTCTCTCCACGGAACCGGTCCCTGGTGCCCAAAAGGTTGGGGGCCTCTGATGTAGTCATTTAGCAAGTCTGGCTTCCCCCGTTGACTTTGTTTGTCGGAAGCCGGCTGGGAAAGTTACAAACGGTGATCAAATGACCCCCGGGTCAATGCAACTGTGGTAAATATACGCCAGTTGCCAAACGGCCAAATTTTGATCGTGCGACCAGTGATGGGGCTACGGCAACGGTTGTGTGAAAGCTGCTCATAAGAACCGGTCCCTGGTGCCCAAAAGGTTGGGGGCCTCTGATGTAGTCATTTAGCAAGTCTGGCTTCCCCCGTTGACTTTGTTTGTCGGAAGCCGGCTGGGAAAGTTACAAACGGTGATCAAATGACCCCCGGGTCAATGCAACTGTGGTAAATATACGCCAGTTGCCAAACGGCCAAATTTTGATCGTGCGACCAGCGATGGGGCTGCGGCAACGGTTGTGTGAAAGCTGCTCATAAGTCACTTTTTTCAGTGCCATTGTAACTCTGCACGGTCGCAGAAATGAATGGTTGTAAGCTGAGGACTTCAGACCTTCTTCTTGTCTTCTTCCCTTTTTCTGAGTGTGTCATCACAAAGGAAGGACGTAAATTCTTCCAGAGAAACAAATATTGGAAGTCTGCTGCTTCCCACTATATTGGCCCACAGCTCCGATCATGCCCGCATGGCTCATTCTGACAGCCATGGGAGCTGTAGTCCTTCATATTTAAAGAGAGGGCCAAGTTTGGAAAATACTAAAATACATTTCCACCTCGGCACAAGGCTTCGTTCGGAGGGGTATTTCCTTTTACCAGGGTGGAAAAGAAAACGAGTGATTGTGTAAATAGTTTGGCGTGCAAAGTGAATGATCAGTGAGGCAGGTGGAAAAACCCCAGCAACCCACTACAAACTAGATCAAAACGCACAAGAGCAGGTGTGGGGAGGTGTACAGTGGAAGACTTTGTGGGAGGTTAGTTGTTAAAATGGTGGAAAAGGAAGGAAGTAGAAAGGATGAGAAGGTAAAACCCTTGAAAATGTCAGAAAGGAAACTAAATAAAAAAAGAACCGAGGGCAGGAAGATTCACATTAGATAAGTAAAGTTTGACATGTTACATTGGAAAGGGAGAAATAAGTAATCCGATAATCCAAATGTGTTTAGGAGAATGTCTCAACCGTAGCCACTTTAAGAGATGTGGACTTCCAACTCCCAGAATTCCCCAGCCAGCATTGGGGAGTTGAAGTCCACATCTCTTAAAGTGGCTACGGTTGAGAAAGATTGGTTTAGAGCAGGGGTTTCAACCTTGGCAACTTTAAGACTTGTGGACTTCAATTCCCAGAATTCCTCAGCCAGCAAAGGAATTCTGGGAGTTGAAGTCCACAAGTCTTAAAGTTGTCAAGGTTGAGAACCCCTGGTTTAGAGAGTATAGAAAAAGATTGATGGAGAGGGAGGAGGGAAAAAAAAAACCTTACTAGGGCAGCTTTTCACAACTGATCAGAAGAACCTGTTGGGCAGGAGAAGAGGCCAAAACAAGATTTGGCAAGAAGACGGTTGATTGGCAGTTGATTGCAAAAGAAAGGCATGGACCAGCGGAGGAAGGATCTACCCCCGCCAGCAAAGGGACACCAAGGAAGGGTGATTTTGACTTCTTTCACAAAGAAGACACCCACACAACTTTTCAGCGGTGGAAGACGAGGGACGCCTCCGATCCACAGAGACATCCAACCTGGCTCCTCAGGCTGGGGAGGGTTCCATGCTAGTCAGTCCAATAGCTTTATTACCTCATGGCAAGAGAAACCAATAGAGACTTGGGACAGAGAACGTCTGAACCTGCTACCTCTGTGTACCCTATGGGGGGGGCTGCTGCGAGACACCCCCCCATCTGAACTGTTTCCCCTTGACCGTAAGAGGGTGGGGGTGGGGACTTGTTACCTGACTGGCCGTGTGACTTGTTCTGAGTTCTGCTCTAGATTTCCTTTGCTTTTATGATCATTATTTTTCTTCTATAAAAATGAAGACACATTTTGCGCTGGGATTCATTTGGGGGGAGAATGAGGGGGAGGGGGAGAAAAACGGGGCGGGGTGAGTGGGAAAGAGTCTCTTGTATTGCTCTTTG